GTCTCGATTCATTCATGTATTCCTACTTCTCTAAGACGTCGCAGTAACCCAAGTTCTTCCAAACACATTCAAATTAGGGTTTTGAATTTGGATCAAAAAACCGAAAAACATTACTTTTCGATGTTGTTGTACATACTTTTTAGCTCCAAATCCCTTGTATTATGTCTCTTCTTTTTGCAAATAATGGAGATGGAACAAGACATATATTCATTGTACCATGAACTCCTGGTTTAAAGGAATCAAACATGGAAACCAAACACAATTCAAAAAATAAAACCCCAACCACTCCACTAATGAAAGAAAATTACATAAAAAAATAACCTTGTTCTTCAAAAAATTTGTGTGGTTTAATAATGTTTGCTTTGTTTTGTTTTGTTTTATGTTTTTTTTGAAACTATTAACTAATATGTTTGACAGAGAGACAAGCACAACTCACAAAGCACTAGTTTTAGGGCAAAAATGAATAGCTAACCCTAAATTATTGTTTTTTGGCTTCAATTTTTAAGGAACAACATAGAAAACACCCCACATTTAAATATGTTTTCCTTTTTTTTTTTTCTTTTTTTTTATGGCTCTATGTTCTAACCAAGGGTTGATCTCGGGGTTCGCAATTTTAATTTGCTAACTAAGCTCGTTTTTAATTTAGATTTTGAGTAAAAACAATCGTGTTTCTTTCGAAGATTTAGATCAATTTCCAATTTTACCCTCTAAACTTGTGACGTTGTATATCAAATTTTGCCATAAACTTGTTTCTTTCAAAGATCTCGACTTTGGATCCGTCCCATTCAACTTTTTGGTAAAGTTGAATTTAAAGGGTATTTTGGGATTTCCATTTTTTAACTCGGTCATGTTGTATATCAACTTTGACCTTAAACTTATAAGTTTATCAAATTGAGCCCTAGACTTCGTTAAACGTTGCAAGCTCTATCATCTATTGAACTATTCGTTAGCGGTAAGTGAGAATACTTTCTTAAGATAAGGAGAGGTGATCTCCAAACCGAGAAGAAATTGAATTCCATGCTCGATCTATTGCTTCTACCTCTACTCGATGCAGGGATCTAGGCTCTGACTAAAGCGACTGTAGATTTGATAAGCAAATTGAAGAGAGCTCTAACAGGTCTTGGAGGACCAAACCCACTTCTGTGTCAAAATACGAACCGAATTTATATTGATAATCAATTAGCATAGTTTAACTATAATTAACGTATACTCACATAATTAAGATCTATCAAATATTTTTTTTAATTTAAATGTATATTAAATCCAAAATTTAAAATTAAAAGATCAAAAATTAATTATTCAATCAAACCATAAATTTTTTTAAAAAAAATTGTTTAAATGAGTTATAAATACATTTAAATAAATTATTATTTGTTTGAGCAAGTATTTTAAAAATAATAATAATAATTTGAGCATATACTTAGATTAGATATAATATTGAGAGGCTAAAATATGCTTTAATTTTTATTATTTTAATGCCCTAAACTAAATAATATGTTTCCTTTTTTAAGGAATAATAAAACGTTGTATAGTTCAACCGGTTAAAACATATATTTTGTGTAACAGTTCAAGCTCACAGTCAACAGATATCGTTCGTTTTAACCTATTACGTATAGTCGTCAGCCTCACAATTTTAAAACGCGTCGGCCAGGAAGAGATCGTTCGCTTTAACCCATTACGTACTGTCGCCGCCAGCCTCACAATTTTAAACGCGTCAGCTAGGAAAAGGTTTCTACACCTTTAAGGAATGTTTTGTTCTCCTCTCCAGCCAACGTGGGATCTTTTAATTTTAGAATGCGTCGGCTATGAAAGGTTTCTATACATCTAAGGAATATTTCGTCGTTCTCCTCTCCAACCAATGTGAGATCTCATATTTTGAAAATATTTTTGAAATTTTTTTTACCTAACATTTAGAAGACACGTCGTTGAAATCATAGGACAGGTTTTGAAGTTTTGAAATATTGATGACGCTAATCTTCGTTGACGTTGACGTACGATGATCTGAAGAAGAGAGTTGAATCGATTAAGGTGACGATCATAAGAAGACACAGTCGTATATTGGGGTTGTGTTGAATAAGCCTAGAGAGCGTGTGAGACACGTTCCACTGTCTATCATATCGTTCGTTTGTAATAAAAGTTGAAAATAAATGGAACTTTCGGTTGATAAAAGCAAGTTAATAGTCCAATTAAAATTGTACCCCACACGTGCAAACTGATCATCGAATCAAATATTTTTCTAATTATTCTTTTTAAAACTCTTCTATATGAAGAAAAATATTTTAAAAAATAAATGTAATTAAAAATAAATAAATAAAGGGAAAAATGGCCAAACCCACGTGCCATGACAAAAGAAAAAAAAAAGCACATAAAGCTTGGTCACGTGCAAGAGATCTATTCTTGGCTCCCCTAATCATTTAGGGTTATATTTGAGTAATTTGATTATAAAGAGTTTGAATTTGTATTATTTGATACCTGGGTTCTAATCGGTATTCAAGACCGACTCTTTCAACGGCTCAAACATCCACCCCTTCGTGTTTCATTCGCTCTATGTATCTGTGTGTTGGGTTCAAATATTTATGCTTGTTAGCGCCTATCGATAAACTAAACTCTATAGCATATCGATTACTGAAGATATAAACGTCGATAATAATATTAGAGCTTTAGTTTTATGGTTATATCGATAAGATATTTATGTTTTATACTTATTTGTAATAGATATTGATGTTTTTTTATTTACTGGTGTCGACATATCAACGAATATTTTCATCCATGGTTTTGATTATCATGTACTACCAATTTTATAACCTTACAACTCATCAACTTATCAGTCAATTTGAGCATAGCAAACTCCCCGCTAACCCGAGTGAGCACTCAAATATCTGTCCTACATTCATTCGTGAGGGGACTCCTAATGGATTGAAAATCATATCAACAGGTCTTCCATTTTGCAAATAAGGCATATCTTCTCTAGGCAAAATTTTTGAAACAATACCTTTATTTCCATGTCTTCCCGCTACCTTATCGCCTACTTTGATTTCACGTTTCTGTGAAATATATACACGAATCATTTCTGGATTATAACTTGAACCCCCTTTTTTTCTGGATCCATCTCACATCAATAACTCGACCCCTACCGCCTATAGGTAGTTTTAGACAGGTTTCTTTTGAAGTAGATACCTAAATGTCAAGTATGGCTCGAATAATCTATCTTCAGGGGCATACGATGATTCTTTCGCCATCTGAGGCGTTAATTTACCTACTAAATTTCTTTCGCCAACTAGTGTGAGATCCTCACATCGGTTGGAGAAGGGAGTGAAACATTCTTTATAAAAGTATGAAAATCTCTCCCTAGTAGATGCGTTTTAAAACTGTGAGACTAACGACGACACATAACGGGCCAAAGCTAACAATATCTACTAGCGGTGGACTTAGGCTAACAGTATCAGAGAGTGGTGTGCCAACAAGAACGTTGGGCCCCAAGGGAGGTGGATTGTGAGATCTCATATCAATTGGAGAGCGGAACGAAACATTTCTTATAAATGTGTGAAAACCTCTTCCTAATAGACACATTTTAAAATCGTGAGGCTGACAACGATATATAACGGGCCAAAGTCTAATAAGTGATTGTGTTGTTAACTTGTTTATATAAGTATAATTACTATGATTAACTTGTTTTTTTTTTTTCGTTTTTTATAATAAAAAACGAAAAAAAAAAAAAAAAAAAAA